TGCTTGAGTTAATATAATTGTTCAGTTGGCAAAGAATTAGAGATGATTAAAATGACAGACCCAGTGGGTGAGTAATAATGTTATTATTTGTCACCCAATGTATCCTTTCAAAGCATTATGTCATCTAATGAAATATATAATTGTACCTTTTTGAACTCAGCTCTCTAGGAAACATATATTTAAAGTTATCACGATAACTCTTTTTGTTCTATGTTGTGTTATTAATTAGTTTTATTGAAATACATATGAAAGACGACCAAGAGTAGTTAAAAAGAACAAACTTGTGGAAGCACTCTTTGCACAGAAGCTCTATCTCTTGTTAAAGCAGTGGTTTCCAACCTTTTTTTTTTTACCAGGGACCACTCCCCAACATTAGTACCAAAAGAGTTATGAATCAGTTTTTGGTCAACTTTCGGTTTAGTTATTTGGGATGCTGATTCAGAAAATTGCATTGGATACACCACATAGTTTTCAAAACAGACATATGCCATCCAGTAGTTGCCATCTGCTTGCCCACAGAAATCTATATTTAATAAGCCTTGGCACCAGGCATGTAGCCGGGGGGGGGGGGGGGGGGCTGGAGGGCTTCAGCCCCCCCCCCCGAAATTCTCATGGTGGTTCGCGAAAAGGCCTTACTGGTGCATTATTTAAACTGTTATGTTTATTCATATCATGATCTGATCACCATACTCAATATATCCCATATGCATGGGGTTATTGGGGTAATGATACAAAAGGTTTGCTAGGCTAGACCCTCTTTCACTCAGACTCAGCCCCCCCCCCCCGAAACTCAGCCCCCCCAAACCCCCCCTGAAAAAAATTCAGCCCCCCCTCCCCCCACAAAATCCTGGCTACGGGCCTGCTTGGCACAATAAGAGGGTTTCACAAGACCAGTCGTTCTCGTTGCAATGGTGAGTCCATGGACCATATTTTATTTCTTGCGGACCACTGGTGGTCTAAGGACCACAGGTTGGAAACAATTGAGATAAGGTTTGGAAAAGTTATAATTCTGTCTGCCATCCCATAGTCGCCATCTGTTCGTCCACAGAAAACCATATTCAATAAGTCTCGGCACAATAAGAGGGTTTCATGAGACCAGTCGCTCTCGTTGCAATGGTGAGTCCGCAGACCATATTTTATTTCTTGCAGACCACTGGTGGTCCACGGACCACAGGTTGGGAACCACTGAGCTAAAGTTTAGAAAAGTTATAATACTGGCTACCGGAATTCCCCAATTTTCAGGGAGATTCATGGAACTATGGTATAAAAAGAAAGCTTCCAAATTTCTGGCACTGTTATATACATTGGGTACCCCTTATTTAAAAAAATTGTGATTAGACACATTTTAGAGTTCAGATTCCTGTATTTGCATGCTCACAATGAGATCCCTTAGAGATGGGATCCATGTCTAAACAAGAAACGCATTGATAATGTTTTTTTATATATACTTTATATCAGGCATGGGCAAACATGGACTCTCCTGATGTTTTGGACTTCAACTCCCACAATTCCTAACAGCCCGTGCCTGCTTTATACACATAGCCTGAAAGTTATTTTATACACAATACAGCATTTTAATGATTTCTGCATGGAAAAAAAGTTTTGTATATCAGAAGGCCAAAGTGTTGCTAAAGATAATTTTAAGTTTTGTAGTATTTCAGATTTTGAAAGAAGAAATTCCAAACCAGTACCATTTCCCCATCCAACTCTGTTTTTTAAACTTTGATTAGTGGTGGCTCTCTAAGATTTATATCTAACAGTTCTCATACAACAAAATTACAAATACATCTCTAATCCATACAAATGAAATCAAGGATAGTATAACAAAACTTTTCTAAGCTTTTACGGAAGCTGTTGTGACCTTGCCTCTTGTAATTAGTTTGTTCTTTCTGCTTCTGCAATAACTGTTTGTAATTTCTCTCCTGGTCGAATTGCACATTCACTCAAACCAGAATCTGTATTGAGTTGGAAAAGAGATTCCCAGACAGCAGATGGTATCACTTATAATTGGACAATAACTGAATCATAATCTGTTGAATCTCATGCTCATCTGCAGCACTTGTGACATGATGCCCTAAGCCTTTTCTGGCTTCTGTTGTCGCTGAGCTTTCCCAGCTTCATACACTTCCTGCGTCTTTTGAATTACTGCATTTGCCCTTTGGCACCTATATCTTTCCTTGGGTCTTATAGGCTTGAGGTATAATTTCAGCAGATTCATCTGGGGCCTTCGGCTCTGCCATCATACTGAAAAACCAAGAAAGTTGGATACTGTTCTCTCGTTTGTTCCTGGCTGTTATGTCTAAAGCTTGGCTGCAGAATCAGGCTTTGCTTTTTTTGCACGTCCTCCAGTATTTCACAGATGAAACTGGATTCTGGGATTGTTTACAATGCTTTTAGGAGTTTTTTGAAGAGTATATTAGTATATTTTTAATGTTTTTAATTTTGTACAATTCTTCTGCATATAATGGGGGTTTGTGTTACATGGATTCAGTTATATGCTGAGATCTATCCCAGGCAAGTTCTGGTGAAAACACTACTAGAGAGAGAACATCTCTCTAAGCATTTTCTAGGTCCTGCAGTATATTTCTAAGATCAACAATGCTTCTCTTGTATTGTCGAAGGCTTTCATGGCTGGAATCACTGGGTTTTTGTAGGTTTTTTGGGCTATATGGCCATGTTCTAGAAGCATTCTCTCCTAATGTTTCGCCTGCATCTTTAGCAAGCATCCTCAGAGGTTGTGAGGTCGCTGAAGACCTCATAACCTCTGAAGATGCTTGTCCTCACAACCTCTGAGGATGCATGCCAGTAAAAGCGATATACAGTGAGCAGGAAGTAAATATATCTGGCAGTCCAGCAGATTTCTAGGGTTTGTAGTTTAGGGAGGAGCCTTTAACAGCCTCACTAAACTACAAACCCCAAAATTCTGCAGGAGGCCGAAACCGGATTTTAAGTGTATGTTTCTATGAAATTTGGACTGCCAGGCAATACAATCCTAAGGTCCCCCAGATGATGCAAAGCGATGCAAAACGCAAAATTAAAAGTATGTCTAACTACAACAGTTGGGAACTGCTCAATGTTCTAAGGCAAATTTTTAAACATTCTTGGTCATGACTCTGATTAGAACTGGAGAAGTAAAGGGGTCAGATTGACCCGATGGAAGAAGATAAACAAACCCACGTTCTTGGACACTTTCGGATTTTAACTGCAGGAAAGCATGTCAAAATATCTGTTGTGAAATCAGTGTAATATACATAAATCGTGCACATTCTAAGAGAAGGGAAACAAGCATCCAAGACATAAATTCCTGTAGCTCAATCGTGTGCAAATGTATGCATAAAAAATCCCATTGATTTCACTTGGATTTACTCCCAGAATTGCAAAGTACGGCCTTTAATTTTTTGTAGATTTAATGTAGTTTGACACCAGTCGTGGCTCAATGCTATGGAATCATGGGAGTTGTATTCTTACAAAATCTTTGGGCTTCTCTGCCAAAGAGTGTTGGTGCCTCAACAAACTACAGCTCCCATGATTCAATAACAATGAGCCAATTAATACATTTTGGCACCACTTGAACTGTTGTAGCTCAAAGCTATGAAATTATGGGAGTCTGGTGAGGCACCAGTTCTATCTGACAAAGAAGGCTAAAGGCCCTGTAAAACTAAAACTCTCATAGGTTTGAGCCATGACAGTTAAAATTGTTTTAAACTGGATTAATTCTACAGTGTAGATGCACCCAAAAGAAATAAATGTTAAGGTGGGGGAGGGGGGAGGCACAAAGCATTGTAAGTGGTATCATTCCACAGGGTAGAGACACCCAGGGAAGGCTAAAGACCTTGTAAAACTACAACGCCCTCGGGTCCACAGCATTGTGCCAGGGCAACATAAGTGACACTAAACCACATTAAGTCTACAGTGCAGATGCACCCAGAGAAGGCTAAGGACCTTGCAAAACTACAACCCCCAGGACCCCATATCTTTGAGCCAAGGCAACATAAGTGGCATTAAATCACATTCATTCTAGTTTAGATGCACCTAGAGCAGGCTAAGAACCTTGTAAAACTACAACTAGCAGAATTCCGTATTATTGAGCCACGGTAATTAAAGTGGAGTCCAACAGCATTAAGTCTACAATGTAGATGCACCAAGGGAAGGGCCTTGCAAAACTACCACTCCCAGGGCTCCATATTATTGAGCCATGGTTACAGTGGCACACAACTGCATTAATTCTACAATGTAGATGCACCTAGAGAAGGCTAAGGACCTTGTAAAACTACAATTCCCAGGACTCCGTAGCACTGAGTCAAAGCATAAGTGGTATCATTCCACGGGTCGGGTGGGTATACCCAGGGAAGGCTAAAGACTTTGCAAAACTACAACTCCCAGGACGCCATACTATTGAGCCATGGTACAATGCAGCTGCAATCCAGAAAAGGCTAAGGACCTTGTAAAACTACAATTCCCAGGTCTCCGTAGCACTGAGTCAAAGCATAAGTAGTATCATTCCACAGGTGGGGGGGGGGGTATACCCATGGAAGGCTAAGGACCTTGCAAAACTACAAYTCCCAGGACGCCACATTGAGCCATGGTAATTGGTGTCCAACTGCATTAATTCTACAATGTAGATGCACCCAGAGAAGGCTAAGGACCTGGTAAAACTACAACTCCCAGGACGCCACAACGCCGAGTCAGAGCATTTGAAGTGGTATCAAACTGCATTCATTCCACGGGGTGGGGGGTACACCCAGGGAAGGCTAAGGACCTTGCAAAACTACAACTCCCAGGACTCCATATTAATGAGCCATGGTAATTAAAGTGGTGCCCGACTGCATTAACTCTACAATGTAGATGCACCCAGAGAAGGCTAAGGACCTAACCCTACAACTCCCAGGACTCCACAGCAGTGCCGTTCAAGCGGTGTGGAACTGCGTTCATTCTCCAGTGTGGAGGAGAAAGGCGGAGCAGGGGCGAGGAGGAGGAGGAGGAGGAGGGATGGGCGGAGGGCGGGCCAGAAAGCGGCTCCACGCCGAGCCAGGCCGCCCTCCGGGGCTGAAAGGAGACGCCGGGCTCCAAGAAGCTCTTAAACCGGCTTGGAAGCAGGATCACAGGCAGAGAAGGGGAGGAAAGTTCACGGCGGCGCGGAGAAGGCGAGAGAGAGAGAGAGAAGTCGCCCTTGGGATTCCTTTCGGGAGGATGAGCCTCGGATGTGAGTAGCCAGCCCCTCCGCTCCCAAAGCAAGGCAGGCAGAAGGACACGTCGCTGCTGCTGCTGCTGCAAATATTGGCCCGCCCAGCCTGCCCTCCATCCCTCTCTCTCTCTCCTCTCTTTTGCCAGGTCTCACCTCCACGCCTGGGGCGCCTTTCCTGTTTTCTTGGGTTTCTCATCCAAACAAGGCAAACAGGATTCTTATTTTTGATTAATTTTTAGCAAGCATGTAAATATGTAGCTTGATAGTAACCAAGATTATATATATATGCAAACATGTGATGATAATAGCAACTGTAGAGCAGGAATCCATCATGGGCTGGCTTGCTTGGCATCACAAGGTACACATTTTAGATGCCTTGGGTTACATCACCAATCTACCACTGTAGAATTAATTCTGTTTGACTTCACTTTCAATCCACTTTGGTCCCACTTGGGCTCCTTCCACACAGCTGAATAAAATCCCACATTATCTGCGGAAAATAGACCTTGACATTTGGGGATAGTAGTGGTTGGGATTTATAGTTCGCCTCCAACCAGAGCATTCTGAACTCCACCAATGATAAAATTCAATGAAACATGGCACACAGAACTCCCATAACCAACATCAAATACATGGAAGGGTATGGTGGGCATTGAACTTGAGTTTCGGAGTTGTAGTATAAATACTATATAAATGTAGTAAATAAATAAAGAGTAGTTCGCCTACATCCCGTGTGCACTGTGGACTCTAACAATCATGGATCTGGACCAAACTTGCCACGAATACTCAATATGCCCAAATGTGAACACTGGTGGAATTTGGGGGAAATAGATCTTGACATTTGGGAGTTGTAGTTGCTGGGATTTATAGTTCACCTACAACCAGAGCATTCTAGACTCCACCAGCAATAGAATTGGGCCAAACTTCGCACACAGAGCCTCCATACTGTTTTCTGATGGTTGTTGGCAACCCCTCTGACACCCCCCTCGTGGCCCCCAAGTTGAGAAACACCGGTGTAGGCGCAGCCGGTCTTTTACATGTTTGCCACCGGTTACATATTTGCTTTTTATATGTATGTAAACCACCCCAAGTCCTTAGGAGGAGAGAGGACGGTCAAGAAATAACGTATTATTATTATTATTATTATTATTATTATTATTATTTTATTATTAGCCTTATCTGCCAAAGAGTGCTGCTACCTCACCAAACTACAACTTCCAAGATTACATGGCAATTAAAGTGGGGTCAAACTGTATTAATTCAATGCAGACAAAGATGGTGTAGATGCAGCCAAAGATGGGGAAGTTCTTGCTTACTTGCTTTTCATCACAAGGTACACATTTTGGAAACAAGTCTGAGGCTCCATCTAAATTGCCATACAATGCAGTTTGAAAGTACATTATATGGTCAGTGTAGACTCATATAATGCAGTTCAACTGCATTATATGAGTCTACAAAAATTATATAATGCAGTTTCAAACCGCAGTGTAGATGGGGTCTGGATTGTCTTGGGATATGTTTACAACGGGCTTGGGCAAACATGGGCCTTCCCAGTGTTTTGGACTTCAACTCCCACAATTCCTAGCAGCCTCAAGCCCTTTCCTTTTTCCCCTCAGCTGCTTAAACCTGGTCTGCAATGCAATGTAGAATGATTGCAATTTGACACAACTTTTGTGGCTGAATGCCATGGAATCATGGATGTTGTGGTTTTACAGGGTCTTTAGCTATCTCTGCCGAAGAGTATTTGTACCTCACCAAACTACAAATCCCATGATTCTATAGCATTGAGCCTTGGCAAGTAAAGTAGGGTCTAGCTTCATGAATTCAGCAATGTAGATGCACCCTGGATCTCATGGATGAGACCCAAAAATAGAGTACCAACACAAACAAAACTTGTTTGGGTTTGCAGGGTTTAAAAACCAAAGTTGCTGGCTTTGGCAAGAGGTCTTGTGGGGAACAAGAGATATGTTTCGAAGTTGAGACGTAGTCAGTTTGTTTTTCGGAATCGTGGAGGCAAAGTATGCAGACGGAAAGGTTCCAAAACTGGGAAAATTCCGCAATTGGGAAATAGTTATATTTTTCCCTCCTGTTCCGGCTACCAGCCTCAATGCCCTGTTGCATCACCACTCATTTTCACACGTGTATTTACAATAATCGACGCACAGCTTTCAGGGACATCTGCACTAGTGTACAATGAATGCAGTTTGGCACCACTTAAATTGCCAGGGCTCAATGCTAGGAAATCGAGGGATTTGTAGTTTGGTAAGGTACCAGCAGAGATGACTAACGACCTGGTAAGACCACAACTTCCATGATTCCATAGCATTGAGCCATGGAAGTTCCAAGTTGTGTCAAACTCCATTCATGCCATAGTGTAGATGCACTCTCTAGGCCCTTCCAGACAGGCCCAAATCCCAGGATCTGCTCCTGGGTTTTCTGCTTTAAACTGGATTATACGAGTTGGCGCTTCCAAATACTCTGGGATAAATAGGATCAGATCCTGGGATATAGGGCCTGTCTGGAAGGACCCTCTGTAATTATTTCCTATTCTCAGCACTCAGGCCCCTTCCACACAGCTGTAGAAAATCCCACATTATCTGTTTTGAACTAGGTTATATGACACTGTGGACTCAGATAACCCAGTTCAAAGCAGATATCATTGGTTATCTGTCTTAATATTATGAATTATATGTCTGTATGGAAGGGCCTTCACTGAACCGTTTGGATCTTCTTCTCCCTGTTACTTTCTGAAGTCTTTCTACTTTTGGGAAGTTTCCCAGATTCTTTGCTGCAGTGATGGTGCCATGTTCATTACTAACGGAGCAGTGCTCAGCTAACAAGTTATTAATGTATAGGAATCTGCATCTCTTACTATTTAATATCATCGGTATTGGCAGAGGAGCAAAGTCAGGAGACATATCTCTAGACATATCTCTGTAGCTGCCTGGAGCAAGAGTTGTGCTGCATCAGCAGACATCCAGGAAGGCGTAAATAGACAGGAAGAGAACATACAGTATCAGATCTTGGACGGTTGCAAAGCTAAACCTTTGGGAAAATTTAACTGTTTTCAACTACAACCCACTACTACCACTAGACATCTCTTATTCCTTTGGAAATTTGCAATAACTTCTATCTGTGGAATCCCCTGAATCTACGGCCTCATCTACACTACCAGATAAAATCCAGTTTATCTGCATTGAACTGGATTATATGGCAGTGTAAGTAACGGTAAAGGTTTCCCTTTGACGTTAGGTCTTCGTGTCCAACTCTTGGGGGGAGGGTGCTCATCCTCATTTCTAAGCCAAAGAGTCGGCGTTGTCTGTAGACTCCTCCAAGTTCATGTGGCCAGCATGACTGCATGGAGCGCCGTTACCTTCCCGCCAAAGCGGTACCTATTGATCTACTCGCATTTGTGTGTTTTCGAACTGCTAACTTGGCAGAAGTTGGAGCTAACAGCGGGAGCTCACCCTGCTCTCCGGATTCAAACCACCGACCTTTTAGTCAGCAAGTTTAGTATCTCAACTGCTAACTTGGCAGAAGCTGGGGCTAACAGGAGGAGCTCACCCTGCTTCCCGGATTCAAACTGCCGACCTTTTGGTCAGCAAGTTCAGTATCTCAGTGGTTTAACCTGCTGCACCACCAGTGTACTTGATGTCTCTGGTCTTGAGTGGCACATTCCTTTAGGAATCCTCCTCATGTTTTAGAATTGTTGTCGTCCCTAGCAGCCTCTCCCATTTCTTGCTCTTCCAAAAGAGTCTGCTTCACACTTTCCAGAACCTTCTCTGATAAGGTAAAGTGTAGCTACACAAGCTTCCAGGTGCCACAGCCCTTTCTTCCAACTTGCTATTACTGCAAGTATAGCACAATAGTGCTATATCTGTGGCAAGAAAACAAACATGGCACAAATGTTGTAGTGAACTCCAACAAGTACGTGACCTACCCATGTTTGTCAACCTGTGTACATAAGAAAGCCAGTTTGGCATTGTAGTTTGAATGCTGGATTATAGCTCCAGAAAGCAGAGTTCAAATCCCTCCTCAACCAAGAAAACCCACTGGGTGGGCAAGAGGAAGACCATATTCAGATAGATAGATGCAGAACCTCATCTCATGGACCTTGAGAAGCATTGGAGACTGTCTGCCTAGCACAGGGGTTCCCAACCTTTGGTCCTCTAGATGTTTTGGACTTCGGCTCCAAGAGATCCCAGCCATCTTTCCAGCTGTTAGGAATTGTGGGAGCTGAAGTCCAAAACACCTGTAGGACCACAGGTTGGGAACCACTGCTCTTGCAAAGATTATCGAACTGGTAGATCCCCAGTCGTCCCATTTCAAGTTCTGTCTTCCCATCACAGATGTTTCTCTCCAGGTTTTCACCTGTTGTTACCTGTGTTTGGAACCATCACTTGGGGAATCCTTTTCTCCACCCTCTCTGCATTACTTTTTTTTTAATCAGGGAAAACTTCAGTATCCAAAAGCCAAGAGATCCCTTGCCCTCCCCAAAGCCCCTTAAACTAAAGGAGACGGGACACCACATTAAAATGTCCAAAATCCAATGTGATCCCTTGCCTTCCTCAAAGCCCCGCACACCAGAGGAGGCAATGTCTCCTCCCATGTCACAGTTATAAAACACTCCTTTCAGTGGTATCTTCCCCTCTTCTGTTTGAATTCTGCTTGAGTAGACAAGCAGAATTTTAACTCCACTTTTAACATTTCTTTCCATGGAACCTTCTCTCCATTTTTAACATTATTTCAATTTGGTGGTTTCCCTCTAGAGTAGATCAGCACATTTTAAAAACATTTCTTTCAATAGGACCCACACTATCTTTAAACCCTTTGAACAGCAGAAGGATCATGTAGGGGCAATCCATGCACTGTTACCATGCACTGATTTTTATTTATGTGTTGTTAATCACCAAGGCATTGAATGTTTGCCTTTTTTGTCTGGAAGCCACACTGAGTCCCCTTGGAGAGATAGGGCAACCTATAAATAAAGTATTATTATTGTTATATGGAGTGTTAACAGAGTGTAACAGAGAAATTCAAAATAAAATGGAGTGTGACACAATCCACCACTTCCTAGGAAGCCCAGATTACTATTAAAGAGAAAGTTCAGTGACAGCAAAGTGGTGACGAACGCCCATTCCTCAATGTCACTGAAATGGTTCAACATGGGCGAATCTGTCCGATTCCATCACATGTGTTTTCGGCATTAGCGGCAGTTTTGCCAGACGCCTCAGAATATGATTACTTTCCCGTGTTCTGAACTCCCTCCTTTCAGCAAGCGTCATCTCCATTTCAAGGATGAAGAGCAACAGATGATGACCAGAAGTAAACAAACATCATGTGATGGGGTCCATGCCTCTTGTCCTGAAATTGAGATGAAGTGTCCTATGACAGGGAAAACATTCCATGTGATGAGGCTATCCGTTAGGAAAGCAATGACACTGAGTCCACAAGACCTGAGCAGGGCTATTGGGGACAGGTTGACTTGAAGGTTAAGGTAAAAGTTTCCCCTTGACATTAAGTGTAGTCGAGTCCAACTTTGGGGGTGGTGCTCATCTCCATTTCTAAGCCAAAGATCCGGCGTTGTCCATAGACGCCTTCTAAGTCATGTGGCTGGCATGGATCACCGTTACCTTCCCGCCGGAGCAGTACCTACTGTCTACTCACATTTCATAGAATCATAGAGTTGGAAGAGACCACACAGGCCATCCAGTCCAACCCCCTACCAAGAAGCAGGAAATTTGCATTCAAATTCATATTTTCAAACTGCTAGGTTGGCAGAAGCTGAGGCTAAAAGCAGAAGCTCACTCTGTCCCATGGATTCGAACCACTGACCTTCCAGTCAGCAAGTTCTGCAGCTTAGTGGTTTAACCCACTGCGCCACCGCAACCCCTTTCATAAATTTTTGTTCATAAGATCACCATAAGTCACCGTTGACTTGAGGTCAGATAATAACAATACAGTGTTATATTCCATGTTATTAACCATTGCAATCTGCTGAATGCTCCTCAGATTTGAAGTAGAAGTAATATTTTCAACCAGATATCTCTGGTTCTTCCTTCAACTGCAACCACATGATTCCATAGAATTCAGCCATGAAAGTTGAAAATAGTGTAGTGCATTTGTAAATCCTAAATAAAATATCCCCTTAAGTGTTGGCTAACAGTAAAGTATTTGGCAAATTAAAAGGCCTAAATCCCATTCACCTTAATAAACATCTGTATATCACTAATAATTTGCATGTTATGTAAACATGTCTTCTGATTCAGCCTCTAAAATAGATTATCCTGCTGGTGTTGTGTCTCTCTGATACTAGCTCCCAGCATCTGCTCCCTGAAGTAGATAATATCTCACTCTCCAAGGACTGGGTTTGCCCTGCTTAACTGCAACACAAAAAACTCTGCAACCTTGTCAACAGCTACCAGCTCTTTGAAATACTACTTTTTTAGACTACAACATCCAGAATCCACTAGCATACATGACCATTGGCCATGTTACTTTGGGGGTTCTGTCAGTTGTAGCCCAAAAAGATAAAATCTCAAAACTGTATCAACCCACTTTGGAATATATTCTTCCTTCTAGGGTGTCTAGGTAATAAACACTGACTTAATTCTTTCTGACTGCCATGATAAATTTAGAGTACAACAATATGTGTGTTGTGGTCTCTAAATCCCTTGAGCCACAAGGGCTTATTGGCTTCAGTGGACAATGTTTATCGATTAGCTGTCTGCTGAAAACTATTGCTTGACTCTCTGTGATTTTTATCTATCCTCCTCTGTCTAATGTAACTGTGGGTGGACTGTTAGTTTTCTAGGCAGCGACTGCTAACTTCTGCCCGTGGGTAACACCTAGCATATTGCAAATGCCAAAATAAATAGCGGAGAAGTATTGAAACAACATGTCCTAATATTTTCACTTCTATCATCCATGCTTAGACATTAAGGCCCCTGAGGCTGTGTGAAAATGTGATCAAGGAATTGTATTTCCGCTGCATTGCAACTACCAGCAGTGGTCCACTTCTGTAGTGGGCAGAGTCTAAATTTCCTTTTTGAATGGATTTTATTCATTTCAGAATGTGTTTGTATCTCAGCATGAGCACAGACTGAAGCAAGACAATGATGTCAGTTTTCCTGCAAAATGTCTGAAATTAGTGCTTGCTTAAGCAGTCTGAGTTTGTTTTACCAAACATACTACATACATAGTGAATAAAGGGTTTATGTTGTTGTGACAGTTGGTTTTTGTTTTGTTTTTTATATAGTTACAAACAAGAATACTTTTTCTTTTCTTCTATCAAACCTACATAAGTAAGATGAGCCTCAGTTTTCTTCCAGAAAATATCCTATTTATTTGCATCCTCTTTCAGCTCAATTAAATCTTCTGCTTTTAAAGGAAACATACTTTGTTTTCACCCCTTCTTTTAATGTTTTGAAAAAAAGATTCTAACAGCTCAAAATTTATTCATCAAAACACGTTGCAAACTTTAAAAGGGTGCCTTTAAAATTTTATATTATTTTGAATATTTCTGGATGGGACTGTAGTAGAAAAGTATTGTTTTTGTGATGTGTACTGTGGAAAGCATTTAATTTTGTTGTACAATAACAATAAAGTTATTCTATTCTATTAAAGGAGTTTAGCCAACCCTAACCTGAGATACTTTAGACATGTGCATTTGGGGTAAACCTCGCCCCGTTTAGTGTCCTGGCTTTTGTTAGGGGCTCTGATCTGCTTTTTGTGAGCTTCCCAAAACTGGGAGGGTTGTTTTTGGTTCTTTCATTTTGGGGCCCAAAAGTCGGACCATTATGGGGGCTTCCCATCTACTGGCTTCTCTTCCCAGCATTCGTTCTTCTTCAACTCTAGAGTAAGAGGCACTGTAGACACTGGCAGGCACACGTGCTTTCCGGGCCGGCCGCCACACCATGCCACACACATAGTTTCTCCTTTGAAAGAGAGAGTGTGTGTGGTGGGACATGCAGGCAGGCCTGGAAAGTGTATGTGTCTGCCAGTGCCTGCAGTCAAGCACCTCTTACTCTAGAGTAAGTGGCGCTCAGGTGCAGTTGCGCTCCAAGAGTGCATGTGTGGCAGGGCATGCAGGCAGGCCCGGAGCATGCCTGCAGCCGAACTCCAGGCCTGCCTGCATGCCCTGCCACACAGGCACTCCCTTTCCAAGTCAAGAAGCCAAGTTCAGATGCACACGAAAGCCTGCCTGAGCAGATTTTCGTATGGGGAGGGGGCTTCCCATTTCGTGCTTCCGAAGAAACGGAAGACATGAAAGAAATGGTAGAAACGAAAGGAACGAATTCCAAGCACAACCCTTAAGATACTTAGACCCTGATCATATGACAGCATAAGCCAGGATTCAACAAGCACCTTGCTAGCACACACCTTTTACACTTCAAATGGGAGTAGTTGAACAAACCATGGATGTTTATCATGGTTTATTTATTGTGATGCCTGACCTCCAACAAAGTAAAGAGTTCATGTTGTTGCTTGACCTCTGACAAAGCAAAGAGTTTAAATCAAGAACAAACCATTGATTCCTCCTCCAGTTTGCTGAAGGGAAGAGAGGCCAGACTATCAGATTCAGATGCAACGATAAACCAAGGATGGAACATGGTTTGTAGCTTCTTGCACTTGCAGAGACAGTAATCAGGCAGCAGTAAGAACAAGTGTGTTGTTCAGGATTTGCAAGAAGTCTAACTTATCACAACTTGCCCAATGTATGTATAATTGCTATAATCCTGTACACTTTTAACTCTTGAGCTTGTTTGAAAATATTTTTGTAGAACAGAATGAAGGCTTCCGCTCAAGAGAAGAAAGTTCATAAGTGTGCAAATTTTACAAATATGTTTTCAGCTTCCAACATAAAAAGTGTTAACCAGTGTTAAAAGTTTTGCTGTTCTGCACAAACAATCTACTAAATGAAACAGTGCTCGTAATGATATATATATGCTTAAGATTTCAACCATTTTCTTAACATCATAATGCCTAATCCACATTAAAAAAAAACTCAAAAGTCTCATATAAAATTGTCTTTCAGAAATCATCTTTCTATAAAAGGAAGAACAGAAATTGATCAGAAACATGGATGTGGATGAAGATCAGAAAATGGATCCAGAAAGGACTTGGGAAACTTTGAACAATTCGGTAACCTCATTTATGTGTGCATTTATATTTACTGGAGTGACAAACAAGACAAGTATTTTAATTTTATGGCAAGCTGTTTGGCCCCTGCACTCTGAAATGTCTTGCTATATTATTCCAATATTTCAGTTTTGTTAGTATCATAAATATTGTAGAAGTTTATTATGCATGAGACACCCAGGCACTTGAAGACATGATAAAAAGGATACAACAAACATACTTTAAAAACAAACATAAGTAAATGAGATTATTAATCAAACTAATCAGAAAGCCTGCAAACCGTCAAATAAAATGATAAAATTTCCTTCAATTATACTGAGCAATAAAATAGGAACCTAATTCATCAGTAAGACTAAGAACTAATATAGAGTCTAAGTTTCAAATCTATAACCAAGACAATGTTGTGGTGTAATGTAAAATAAACTATGTGTAGTTCACGTTTGGTCAGCCCATACACTGCCTTGCCAGAGAAAGAAAATATGCCATGCAGGTGAACAGTAAAGACCAAGTAGTTTACTCTTCGCAGTTCAGAACAACATATGTACAGTGTGATCAGTTGCACCAACTCACATAATGTCCTTTTATGAGAGATGTAAAATGGTCTTTCTTTGTCCATGTGGGTAAATTCCTTCAGCAGCTCATGAAGCGAGAGCACACTCCAAACTCTGTGTCTCCCTGTTTCTCTCTTCTTCTCTCTGAACACCTACATAGCTCAAGCCTGAACAAAAATGTAACAGTAACCAAAAGTAACCAAAAAAAGTAACCAAAAGGAAGATAGATGCTTTTGAGCTGTGGTGTTGGAGGAAAGTTCTGAGAGTGCCTTGGACTGTGAGAAGATCCAACCAGTCCATCCTCCAGGAAATAAAGCCCGGCTGCTCACTGGAGGGAAGGATACTAGAGACAAAGTTGAAGTACTTTGGCCACATCATGAGGAGACAGCAAAGCCTAGAGAAGACAATTATGCTGGGGAAAGTGGAAGGCAAAAGGAAGAGGGGCCGACCAAGGGCAAGATGGATGGATGGCATCCTTGAAGTGACTGGACTGACCTTGAAGGAGCTGGGGGTGGTGACGGCCGACAGGGAGCTCTGGCGTGGGCTGGTCCATGAGGTCACGAAGAGTCAGAGACGACTGAACGAATGAACAACAACAAAACCAAAAGTCCCAGGCTCAGCATTGCCCAACCAGTCATCTTCATGCATCTTATTTTACAGTTGACACACACACTCACTAATTCCTTGCATGCTCCAACAAATATCTGGCAAATTTTCATTAAAACCAGAAATGTATTATGGTCCCCTGCCTCGCTTTCATAACAGCTTTAATATGGTTTGCGGTTCTAAAAGCAACATAATAATCTGAACCATTTAGTAATGTAGTCACTTGCACTCTTAACATTTCAAATCCCTTCTTCAGAAGTGGAGCAACATGTTTAAATAATACATTTTACACATTCTTAATACTGCAGGGACTGCAGTAGAAAAGTGTTGTTTTTGTGATGTGTGCTGGGGAAAGCATTTAATTTTAATTTACAATGGCAATATAGTTATTCTTTTCTATTAAAGAATTTTATGGCAACCCTAACCTAAGATACTTTCCCCCCAAACACAGTACATAAAACATCTCCCCATTTAATGCAGTTCCTATTCATCTACTCACATTGCTGTTTTCGATCTGCTAGGTGGACATGGGAGCTGGGCTGAAGGTCAGGAGCTCACCCTGACCTGGCTTCAAACTGTCAACCTTTCAGTTGGCAAGATTTACTGCAGCTGGTGATTAACCTGCTGTGCTAAAGCCGGCCCTTACACTTCATTGCAAAGCAAAAGGTGAAGGGGAAGCCAGATTTGATTCTTACTCAAACCTGTTTCTTGGAACACTTAAGGGTTTGAATTAAAAAAAACAAACTATGTTTAACAGACTTCATCTCATCTAACTTGGAAATAAATATAAATGCCTAAGTGATTAACTGCATCCTTCTGAAATTAAGAAGAGACTCGACGAAAGTATAGTTTGCTTCTTTAAAAAAAATCACACCTCTCTCTATATTTTTCAGTTAACAAGTTCTATGTTACCCTTAGCAAGACAGTTAAAAGACCTGGAAAAAAGGTTTGTTACCATTTGGGCCCAAGGGTGAACTGAAAGTAGATTAGGATCTGCTGATAGATCTCTGGTTAAATTGCACTCCCTTCAGCGTGGATCTCCGGCTTCTAGTTGTTTAACAATCTCACAGTGACTTTTAGTGCCTGAATCAGTCTTATGAAGTACAGAAGGTTTGGAATCACTAGAAGATGAGTCTATCTGAAAGAATGAAAAGCTCAATGCATTGCTCCGGTACTGAAAACAAATCCCTAGAAACAGGTGTAAATTCCCAGTTTAAAATCTCATTAATTTTTAGTGTCTGGCTTTTGCATTTGTCTCTAATTAGAGGATTTGGGTGTCTGATTTAAATAAAGAGACCTGACAAGCCTGATGTTTGCCCATCCTTGAATTCTCCCATGAAGTTTACTTCTTAGTTTAATCCTTCTAACACTGAGCTACGAAGTTCAGAGGGTTTAAAGAAATGACCTCCTTATTTGCATTCCTCCATTGTCAAATAAACTTTGAGAAAATATATGGACATGACTCTTGGGTCATTTAGAAAAGTAATTACAGTGTTCCCTCACTTATTGCAGGTGTTATGTTCCAGGACCACCCGCGAAAAGTGAAAATCCGCAAAGTAGGGACTATACACACACACACACACACACATATCGCATTCTGAGGGTGAGGCAGAAGCAAGGAAAGATTTAAAGGCACTGCACACTTTTTTTTTTTTTTTGGCTAGCCATAAGGAAGGGGCTATAAGGCTGTGATTTACATAGTGCTTTGTATCTCCTCTCTCTTTTTTATTATGATTGGCTGCCTCTCTTTCAAGGGGGATGGTGGAACCCCCTTCCACACTCCATCCAAAAACCCGCGAAACAGCAAGTCTGCAAAAAGCGAACTGCAAAGTAGTGAGGGAACACTGTATAGTGTAGTATAACTTTGTAGGCGCTCCATCTACACTGTAGAGTTAATGCAGTAGAGTTAAACACCACTGTAAATGCAGTGGTTCAATGTTGCGGAATGATGAGACTTGTATAGCTCGATGAAGTAAAATAATAAGTGTAATAAAAATAATACTAATTACACAGTAAAATAATAAATAACTTTGACTCGAGTATAAGCCGAGGGGAGTTTTTTCAAACTAAAAAGGGTCTGAAAAACTAGGCTTATGCTCGAGTATATACAGTAACTTGACTCGTGTATAAGCCGAGGGGGGCTTTTTCAACCTAAAAAAAGGACTGAAAAACTTGGCTCGTACTCGAGTATGCTGAAATGCAGTGTACAGAAGCCCTACCTATATAGGCACATAGCAAACCTAGTTCCCTTTTTACTGCAACACCCACTTCAAAATTGCAAGTCAAACAAGCAACAATTATCCAGAAGATTAAAAAACAGCTTGCCTTTTCCAGTTAATTGTGTTGTAAAGCCTGCAGATTCCATTCATGTTATATGTGAACTCCAAAAAGTTTTCCCATGTCTTTGAAGCTGCATCCCACTTCAAAGGATTGGTGAAGAAAGTAAATCTGTAGAGATAGCAAACATCCCAAAATGAACTGGTGCTTAAAATCGTGAGTGAAAAGGGCATCTAGTGTGCAACCTCAAGTTCTTTTCATTCAGTCCTAGTAATGTAGCCAAATTCCTGTAACTTTGAACTTCGTGCACAGATTAGAATGGCTTCAAATGGAGTGTGTATAAGTGGATTTGTAAAGGGCAACAATGCAGGGATCTCCTAATACTGATAATGTGTTTTTAAACCCGTATTAGGTTTATGTGTTGTGTGTTCTTTTCCCCATTTAGGCCACCGATCTAAAAGCAACTGGTTCAGCCACAGCAGACAATTTTCCCCATATTTATCAAAGAATCTATATCGATGAGTTTGACTCTCCTCCCAATGCGCACTGTAAATATGACCTTTTCCCTCGATGGCATTTACCAGTGAAGATCGTCCTGGTATTATCGTCGTTGACCTTTATGTACACTTGTCTAAGGGACGTCATCTATCCTTTTGTGACTGCTCAAGAAAATGTGTTTTATAAAATTCCAATCCTGGTCATCAACAAAGTCTTGCCCGTGGTTTCAATCACCCTTTTGGCCTTGGTGTATTTGCCGGGAATATTGGCCGCAGGTTTCCAGTTCTATCATGGGACCAAGTACAGACGTTTTCCGCAGTGGTTGGATACATGGATGTTATCCAGGAAACAGTTTGGGCTGCTCAGCTTCTTCTTTGCCTCAATGCATGCCTGCTACAGCTTGTGCTACCCAATGAGGAGATCTTACAGATACAAACTCTTGAACTGGGCATATCAGCAGGTACCCCACTGTATGTGTGTATGTCTTTGTGTGTATTGTGCTATAAAATCTCTGAACTGATGGTCACTTGCTTCCGGAACACTGTGCTTAATCCTGAACATTTCAGTCTCAAGATAGAATTCATTCAAATAGTCGTAGTATCCAAAACTAGAGTGAAAAACAGTAGAGTCCTGTTTATGATTTTTCAGATGAGTTCTATTGAATTCAGTGACGTTTACTTCATGGTAAGGGGAACCACCAGTGGCGCAGTGGGTTAAACCGCTGAGCTGCTGAGCTTGCTGACTGAAAGGTTGTAGGTTTGAATCCGGGGAGCAGCGTGAGCTTCCGCTGTCAGCCCCAGCTTCTGCCAACCTATCAGTTCGAAAACATGAAAATGTAAGTAGATCAATAGGTAGCACTCCGGCGAAAAGATAACGGCGCTCCATGCAGTCATGCTGGCCACATGACCTTGGACGTGTCTACGGACAACGCCAGCTCTTTGGCTTAGAAATGGAGATGAGCACCACACCCCAGAGTCCGACACGACTGGACTTAATGTCCGGGAAAAACCTTTACTTTACTTGGCCCATGAAAGGAAGATAATTAGTGGGTACAGCTACACTGTGAAATCAATCCAGTTTGACATCACTTTAACTGTAGTAGCTCAATGCTAAGTGTTGGGAATCAGAGCTGTTAGGCTCAAAAATAACCCTCACTTGGAGTGATTCCACCAAAATGTAGCAGAATGCTAGAAGCAGACTTCATAACCAGCAGAAACTTACGTGTGATGAGTCAGGATTCGTTTCCATTTAACAGGATGGTACAGGATACCAGAAACAGAACTTTAGGTTCAAATAGTTATTCAAGAAAATAAATACATTATAGAGAGAAAAGGTTCCGCTCTCCCAGGATTCGAACCGCTGACCTGATGGTCTTCAGTCCTGCCAACACAAGGGTTTAACCCATTGCACCACCGAGGGCTCGCAATGGGATACTTAAAAATATAAGTTGAATTATATGAAGTTCTTGTGAATATTGGGAGAAGCAGGACATTGTTTTGGCTATAATTTTCTCTTGTCTTAAAGTTTCCAGAGCCCTTTTCTCCTTTTGCCCTCTAAGAACCAGGCTTTCACTGTAAATGCCAACACCACTGGAGCTTGTTCTTGTTTACAGATCTATTACATCCATTCTTTTAAAAGTAAAATGCCTGAACTGTATTGGTTCCCCTGGCGTGATGACAAGAATTGTTAAGAATGCCTGCTGATTAGCTGCTTAAAATACTGTTTCTTAGTGCATTACCTGGTGTTACAACCTGCCAGAGGTTGTATTTAGCCTTAGATGGAATTCTGTTCCATCAGCAAATAAAAGCAACCCTGCTGAGGAAATCAAGTTAAAAGGGGATTGGAACAGACTTCCTTGGAGGTCAGAACTTTGCTGAAGTAAGTAAATAATTTGCAAGCTAACTCACTTTCCTTTGGTAGAGACTGATGCGATTTACATGGTCATTGGTGGAAACAGTAGCTCAGTTAAAGATCAAAGGATGTGGCCAGACTTAATTTATCGTGTACACAGGAGAAAAGGAAAATGTTAGCCAAACAACAAGTGTACTTTGATTCTGCTTGAAGTGTCATGGAGTTTTGGGATTTGTAGGATGCTGAGACATTAGAACATAGAAACTAAGTGTCACTCCCTCAATTGCAAATCACACAATTGCATGAGATGAAACCAAGGCAGTTAAATGAGAGGAGGGGGTCATAATGCAGTAACTGTTAGCTCCCTTGCTTTGTTCATAATTCTGGTTAATGTAATGATGTAAACATGTGGACATGGAGTATCTGTAAACAGCGAAAAGACCAGAATTTATAGTGTTCAAAAAATGTTCAAACAAGCCGGATTGGATCCCTAGGAAAGTCCTAAATCCTAAGTAAATTTGAGCCTTTGGAGTATCATTTTGACACTTTTAAAAATGTAGTATTCTCTCGACAGGTGAAGCAGAAAAAAGAAAATGCCTGGGTTGAACATGATGTCTGGAGAATGGAGATTTATGTGTCTCTGGGAATTCTGGGACTTGCTCTCTTGGCTCTGCTGGCGGTAACGTCAATCCCGTCTGTCAGCCAGTCACTGACCTGGAGGGAGTTTCATTACATTCAGGTAATTGTAAATATAATGGATCGTATCTTACTGGGAGAACTGTACAGTGTGTATTATAGATTTGAGATTCAAGGTGAACCTGCACTGTAGAATTAATGCAGTTTGATACTACTTTAACTGCCATAGCTCAGTAGTTCGGTGAGGAAACATCACTCTTTAGTTATTTATTTATTGTGTGAGAAGCAAATTGAGGACACAGTTAAAATGCATTTCAAAACACAAACAATATTTTTTTTTAAAAAAACTTGGCATTATGCTAAATGTCCTTTGACCAGAAGCTGGCCACTTGGAGTGCTTGCTGGTGTTGCTGGTGGGCCTCCATTGTGCATGTAGCAGGGCACAGGTTGCATTGTAGTAGGACTCCACTTTGTAGCCCCATTGGACACCACTTTGTAGCCCCATTACTTAAGGTTAGATCTGCATCTTGGGGTACCAGAGTACAGCCTGTTCAGCACCTTCCAGGTTGCCCAGATTTACTTTTCTTTAGCTGAAAAGTCTAAAGACTTTCCAAAACCAGAACTGTCAGAATTCCATAGCATTGAGCCATGGAAGTTAAAGTGGTGTCAAACTGCGTTAATCCTAGAGTGTAGATGCACCTTAGTCTCTAATATTGCCATCTGAAAGGATGTAACTAGAGAAACACAGAGAACTATATTCAGAAGACACCACAAAGGCCATCCATCCGAATCCCCTGCCATGCAGGTATCACAGCTGACAAATGAAATATTGGTTTGCTATGAGTTTTCCAGAATGTATGGCCATATTCCAGAATCATTCTCCTGATATTTCGCCCATATCTATGGCAGGTTATAAGAGGTTATAAGGTATATTGGAAACTAGTCCAATGAGGTTTATTTATCTGTGGAATGTCCGGGGTGGGAGAAAGAACTCTTGACTACTGGAGGCAAATGTGAATGTTGCAGTTGGCCACCTCGATTACTATTGAATGCCCTTGCAGCTTCAAAGCCTGACTGCTTCCTGTCTGGGGAAAATGTTGGAGCACTCTAACAACCACCATGTCAGACTACACAAAGAAACCATTGAAATCTACAAGCATGTAGACAATTTCAACAGAAGGGAGGAAGCCATGAAAATGAACAAAATCTAGTTACCAGTATTTTTTTAAAAAACCTCTAAAATCAGGACAGTAAATAAAGTACAACACTCAGAAAACAGGAGAATTCCTGACATGAAAGAATCAGGACCAGCTAATACCTCCCAACAAAGGATTCCTCCAGGCAGGAATCAGCCAGGCTTTGAAGCTGCAAGGTCATTCAGTGCTAATTAAGGTGGCCAATTGCAACATACACTCTTACCTCCAGCAGACAAGAGTCTTTCTCCCACCCTGGACATTCCACAGATATATAAACCCCACTTGCCTAGTTTCCAACAGACCACACAACCTCTGAGGGTGCTTGCCATAGAAATGGGGGTTTTGTTTTTTGGTTTTTTGGTTTGTTTGTTTTTTTGTCATGTCAGGAGTGACTTGAGAAACTGCAAGTCGCTTCTGGTGTGAGAGAATTTGCCGTCTGAAAGGACGTTTCCCAGGGGACGCCCGGATGATTTGATGTTTTTGTTATCCTTGTGGGAGGCTTCTCCCCTGTCCCCGCATGAGGAGCTGGAGTTGATAGAGGGAGCTCATCCGCCTCGAACCTGCAACCTGTCGGTCTTCAGTCCTGCCGGCACAGGGATTTAACCCACTGCGCCACCGGGGGCTCTATAGAAGAGGGTGAAACATCAGGAGAGAATGCTTCTGGAATATGGCTATATAGCTGGGAAAACTCACAGCAACCCAGTGATTCCAACCATGAAAGCCTTAGAAGACAAAATGACATATTATTTGTAAAAACCTCCAACAGTTCTTCCCATCTAGAAGCTCTTCCTAAGGCTTCGGTGGAATCTCTTTTCTCATCATTTGATTTCATTGCCCGTGTCTTAGTCTCTAGAGCAGCAGAAAACAAGCTCACTTCATCTACAGTACGACAGCCTTTCAAATATTTAAGCATGGCTATTTATACATGGCACATCCACTTCAAAATCCCCGATGTCCTTTGTCAGTTGAGCACTGGGTAATTCCAAAGACATCTTGTGTAGACTGGTTTTCTTATTGCAATTTTCTTTTCACTTTTAAAAGCTAATGCATTGTTTTGTTTCTTCCTTTCTAGAGCAAAATGGGATATTTAGCTCTGCTGCTGTGCACTGCTCATGCCCTGGTGTTTGCGTGGAACAAATGGGTCGACCTAGGCCAATTTGTATGGTACACTCCCCCTACATTCATGATAGCAGTCATTCTTCCCATTCTGGTTTTGTCTTGCAAATGTATCCTGCTTTTCCCGTGCCTCAGGAAAAGACTACAGAAGATCAGATCTGGCTTTGATGCTAACACAGTGACAAGTAGGACGTCAATAGCTTCCAGACTGTAGACTTAAGTCTGTATATACTTAGCATCGATATGGCTTTTTTCCCTGGCCTTAAAATGAATAATAGTTATACCTGAGGCTACAGTTCTGTGCTTATACATGGAGTTCAAGTATTGAACCCAACAAGGCTTTCTTCTGCGTATACAATCATACTTAGGATTATATTTCACAGAGGAAAAGTCAACCTGCTTTGGCCTTACTGGCGGACAAAGTATGTTTGTCCACCAGTAAGCCTGAAATTTGTCTCATCTGTTTGATTCCTGTTTTGTTCCGTCCATTAGGATAGCACAAAACGGAAAGGCCTCACCGGGAACGAAAATGGACTCACAATGAAAGGCAGGCAGGAGTGGGTACTGGCTCCAAGCCTGCTTTTCGGATTGATTGCCGTGCATGCAGGCCCAAAGCTCCGGGGCCTGGCAGGGTAACGAGTACTCCTTACTCGGTGCTCAGCTGCAGGCCCTGCCAAGCCCAGGCATGTAAGCCTAAAGCCTGCACCTGTATGTCTGGGTGCTTTTGGCCTATGGGTGCAGACTTTGGGCCAACATGCCCAGGCCTGGCAGGGCCTGCAGCTGAGCACCGAGTAATGCGTGCACTCCTTATTGAGTAAGGAGTGCAAGTAAGGTACTTCGGGTCTACGGGTGCAGCCTTTGGGCCTACGCGCCCGGGCATGCAGCCGAGCGAGGAGTGCTCCTTATTCGGCACTCAGCTGCAGGCCCTGCCTGGTGTGTAGGCCCAAGCCTGCACCCTTAGGTCAAAAGCAACAGAGCCTACACGTGCAGGCTTTAGGCCTACATCCTGGGCCTGGCAGGGCCTGCAGTCAAATGCCAAGTAAGGCACTTTGGGTCTACAGGTGCAGCCTCTGAGCCTACGTGCCTGGGCCTGCAGCTGAGCGAGGAGTGCTCCTTACTCAGCGCTCAGCTGCAGGTCCCGCCAGGCCCAGTCATGTAGGCCCAAAGCCTGCACCCATAGGCCAAAAGCACCCAAATCTACAGGTGCAGGCTTTAGGCCTACATCCAGGGCCTGCATCTAAATGCCAAGTAATGCACTTTGGGTCTACGGGTGTGTACGCACCCAGGCGTTCAGCCGAGCATCAAGTGAGGAGTGCTCCATACTCAGCGCTCATCTGCAGGCCCTGCCAGGCCCGGGGACATAGGCCAGGGCGTTTGGGGCCTACGGGTGATGTCCATCCGTCCACCCCCCCCCCCAAATGGGTCAAAAGAAAACAGGTCTTTCAGCCCCGAAAACAAAAAAAACAAATATTTGACCTCCCAATTTCAGGAGGCTCAGATGAAATGGATCAGGTGCCCTGCAAAAGCCAAAACACAAAGCAGATGAACTTAAGCCCCGAATGCACATCTCTAATGTTTGTTTCAGTACAAACATAATGTGTGCAAATGTTGAAATGGTGAATGTATAATGACGACCTTAATGTTTCATCAATGTCCTAAATGCGATTTTCCAATAAAATTCCAGGCTCTTTTTTTCAAGCAGTCTAAATTGTTAGGGAAATATCTGTTTTTATAATGGTGCAATATACAGACTGGTGCTAATCCTAAAATTTAAATACTGAGCTGCCTTGACTAGAAATGTCTGAATTCATCTGTTGGGTCAGATGACCAAAAAGTCTCTTATCTGATTCCTGATACCATTTTTCAAAATGCTTTTCTAAGTATACGCCCTTTTTTGTGTGTCAGGAGCAACTTGAAAAACTGCAATCCGCTTCTGGTGTGAGAGAATTGGCCGTCTGCATGGACATTGCCCAGGGGACACACGGATGTTTTACCATCCTGTGGGAGACTTCTCTCATGTCTCCGCATGAGAAGCTGGAGCTGACAGATGGGAGCTCACCCCGCTCCCTGGATTCAAACTGCCGACCTTTCGGTCAGCAGTCCTGCCAGCACAAGGGTTGTGCCGCTGGGGACTCTATGCCCAAATGAAGAGAGAGACACACATTAAATCAGGAGATTCTGGATTTTAGGTTTGTTTGGGGTTTCCAAGTTTTAAAAAGGGGGCCTCCAGCTGATCATCATTTGGATTCTCTCGTTTTCTTGATCTTGAGCCTCTGATGGAGTTCTGCATTTCTCAAAGTTACAATGTAAACTGAATTGTGTAAGGAAAAATATAAATACAAGTACCTTTTTGTTATATTTGTAGAAACTTTATTAACATCTACTGTATTTAAAATAATAAAGCAATTTTTTTGCATTTTTTTTCACCTTTATGCTCCAGTGGTTTTGTATATAAGCATAAAACAATGTGTTGTCAAAGACTTTCTCCCACCCTGGACATTATTCCACAGACATATAAACCCCATTTGCCTAGTTTCCAACAGACCTCACAACCTCTGAGGATGCCGGCCATAGATGTGGGTGAAATGTCAGGAGAGAATGCTTCTGGAACATGGCCATACAGCCCAGAAAACGCTAAGCAACCCATAAAATGATGATTTTGCAAGGAGGTTTGTAGCTACAGGGAGTAACCAGTTAATCTCTCCCCTTACCCACCCACCCCCCAATTAAAGACCATGCTTAGCAGATAGTGACTCATTCTGACCTGAGCACAAAACTTCTCCATTGGGAAATGATACATAAAAGATTGGGTATAACGTTTCATGGGAAAACATCAATAGAGAATTAAATGAGGCATGTGGTAAGTCCCATCCTTGTTTCAGATTGAGATTTATCTGAAGAAATCTTCCACACATTCCTTCCTTACTGGCTCAAGACCACAATGTTTAGAATTGATGTGAATCCAGATTGAAGAATATGAAAACAATTTGCATTGGAATCTGATGTGATCCACATTCACATGGAAAGTATGACTAGAAGTATACCTCCATGTCTGTCTAGAATTACCCAAGTAAAAAATTTAAGAGGCTTATACCATGCAGCTGTGGACAAGTCTACATAGAGACCACCAAACGCAGCATTGCCCAAACACGAATCAAGGAACATGAAAGGCACTGCAGACTAATTCAACCAGATAAGTCAACCGTAGCAGAGCAATTAATGAACCAACGTGGACGCAGCTTATTATTTGAGAACACAGAAAGGCTGGACCACTCTAACAACCACCATGTCATGGTACAGAGCGAAACCATTTCAACAGAAAGGAGGAAACCATGAAAATGAACAAAATCTGGCTACCAATATTTTTTTTTAAAAAACGAAAATCAGGACAACACTTAGAAAACACGGGAATTCCAGACAAGAAACAATCAGGACCAGATTACACCTCCCAACAAAGGACTCCCTTAGGCAGCAACCAGCCAGGCTTTGAAGCTGCAAGGCTATTCAGTGCTAATCAAGGTGGTCAGTGGCAACATTCACACTTGCCTCAAGCACACAAGAGTTCTTTCTCCCACCCTGAACATTCCACAGATATATAAACCCCACTTGCCTTGTTTCCAACAGACCTCACAACCTCTGAGGATGGTCAGCAAGTTCAACAGATCAGTGGTTTAATCTGCTGCGCCACCAGGGGCTCCATGTAGACTCATGTAATCCAGTTCAAAGCATATAATCCTGATTTGGAAAATGGATTATATGGCAGTGTTGATTCAACCTCAGTATTATCTATCCCCAAAGAGGAGTTAATCCTGCAATACTCTACTGGCCAAGAACAAATCAGTATTGACAATTTTAGGATTTTCTAAGTGCAATCTTAACCTACTGTTCTATGTTATAACCATTTTTCCATAGTACATAACTGGAAAAAATAGAGTTAGTTTCCAAGGCACTGAAATCAAACATAGTGTGATTCATTAATCCAAATGCTTGGATACTGGGGTATATACATTAATCCAAATGCATTGTAATCCAGACAGGTATCACACATCTCCAGGAAAAAGCATTGCTAGTGAACTGGTTTTATCTGCAAACTGATTCTTAGGCACTTCTAAGCTCCAGACCAAGACCAGGAGTGCAACCAAGCTGCAAACCTGAGATTTCAGGGCAGTGTAACTCAGTCCTGTGATCCACATTTCAACTGACCAGGAACAAGTCTGTCTTGTTTAGCTTAATCTTCTTTGCGTTCATTCTCGTTCTTTTGTTCACACAAACCCTTAACAAAACAAATTTCTTTAATTATAAATGAAGATAACAGTGCCCCCACCCAAACTGAGAAGCTGGGTTGGGCCCTGAACTTTGCCCCAAAGTCCAAACCTCACTACAGCATTGAAAACAACACTATAAAGAGAAGGCAGATTCATGATCAGGTGACTCCAAGAAGCCATCAAATGATGATTGCTTCTATAAAACTATACCACTTTGTTTAGTTGAAGCAATCCTTTCAAGGATTTATATTGCTTTCTGACAAAGCTCACTCTCTGAACTCACCTCCTGAACTTCTCAAACTGGCCCCATTTAAATCCTAGCTTGACCATGATTCAACCCTCAAAAATAATAAATTAAATGGTTTATTGAAAAGGCTTTTAAGTGAGGACTTTTCCTACCATAAAATAGCTTTCCTGTTCTCACTTGATAAAGTGGTGTAATACATTTGAAAATTTTTAATTTGAAGAGTTACATTCCTCAAATTGCAAGTTCGAATCCTTGGAGCAGCGTGAGCTCCCGCTGTTAGCCCCAGCTTCTGCCAACCTAGCAATTCGAAAACATGCAAATGTGAGTAGATCAATAGGTACTGTTCCGGCAGGAAGGTAATGGCACTCCATGCAGTCATGCCAGCCACACGATCTTGGAGGTGTCTACGACAATGCCGGCTCTTCGGCTTAGAAATTGAGATGAGCACCACCCCCCAATGTCAAGGGAAAACCTTTACCTACCTGAAAGAATTATGATCTTCAAAAAATGTATAATTGGAGCAGGGGTGAGTGGGTTCGTACTGTGGTGCAACATTGACCTGCTTAATCTGTAAAGGTTTTGTACCAAAGTCCTGCTATTACAAATAACAGACTCTTAATAGTATTTATTTATTAAGTTAATTTAAATCCCGTCTTTCTCTATCCCAAAGGGGACTCGGAGTGGCGTTACCAATTAGGCAGCAATTTGATGTCAAAGCGTAAACATACAGTACAATATACATTAACATTAAAACCAAATATATCCACTTGTTTCAGCACTTCGCATAGTGCTAGTTCACATCATGCCAGTTGCCACATCTTGTAGAGCAGAGGAACCTGTGACCCTTTCAATGTTTTGAACTGTAACATTCATAAATAAGTCACATTTGGGTGAACAAAACTTGCTCTTTAGGAAAAGTATGCTCTGATTGCTGTTTTCAATTAGCGAGTCCCTCCAGATAATGAGTAATGTTTGTCTTTTAACTATTTACATTAACTGATTTCCTCCTCACCACTGATATTTGGTCCCGTAATCCGTTTTAAGACTCTACCATTCTTCTCTTTCACTCAGTATTTGCATGGCACGAGATAGATATGTTTTTTCTTTAATTAAGATCATGCTCACCTAAGATTCCGCTATCATATAAGAGTCCGGCCTCTTTATGTTCAAAGGAACATGGAAGTAGTTGTTTGGGTAGAGAGGAGGAGACACAGGCCAGGTATAGTTCACACACCAAGCCAAGGCTTTTCTAGTCTCCAGTATCCTGGGTAGGAAATAATAATAATAATAATAATAATAATAATAATAATAATAATAATAATAATAATAATAATAATATATTTTTTTACCCCACCTCCATCTCTCCAAAGGGATTTGGGATGGCTTACATATGGCACAATGTGCCAAGACAAAGAATAAAATAAATGCACAGTACAATGCAATAAATAAAAACTATTGCATATAAAAACAACAGTTTAAAACTCAGAACAACACCCAATGACCCATGGTGACAACTACCATGAGATATGCCAAATTGTAAACAAAACAATGGACTGAGATAGTGCAAATTGTAGCTAAGGAACAGGGCATGGGATGAAAGTGCAGTGATGTGTCATTGATTGTGGACCATTGGGGCTAGACATTCTCAAAGGCTTGTTTAAACATCCAAGTCTTCAGATCCCTATGGAAGGAGGACAGTGTTGGGACCTGACTAATCTCCCTGCGGAGGGTGTTCCAAAGCCGGGGGCCACCACCGAGAAGGCCCTCTCCCTCATCCCCACCAATCGCACTTGTGACAGTGGTGGGACCAAGAGGAGGGCCTCCCCAGCAGAGCTTAACACTTACATGCGGGGGGGGGGGATGCGGTTGCAAAGATCGACAGGGCCCAAACCATTTCGGGCTTCATAAGTAATAACCTGCACTTTGAATTGAAACTGGAAACTTATCGGCAGCCACCAGAACTGCTTTAATAGGGGCATTGTATGCTCCCTTTAGTCATCTCCGATTAGTATGGCAGCCAATCTTTGCACCAATTGCAGTTTCTGAGCCATCTTCAAAGGCGGCCCCACGTGGAGTGCATTACAAGCAATCCAATCTTGATGTAACTAAGGCATGGATCACTGTGACCAGGTCCAACTTCTCAAGGTACGGTTGCATCTGGCGCACAAGTGTATGTGAAGCCCCCCCACCCCCAGCCACTGCTAACACCTGAGCTTCAAGTGTAAGCGCTGAGTCCAGGAGGACCTCCAGACTGCAGACCTGTATCCTCAGGGGGAGTGTAACCCCGTCGAACACAGGTAGGCACCCTATACCCAATCAGCTACACAGCTGACCAGGAGGATCTCAGCTTTGTCTGGATTAAGCTTCAGTTTGTTGGCCCTCTCACAGCTGCCAGGCACTGGTCCAGGATCCGGGGGGGGGGGGGCTTTCTTGGAGTTAGGTGGAAAAGAGTAGTAGAGTTTGTCATGGAACCTTGCGGTACCCCACAGGTCAATGGCAAGAGATCCAAACAGGTGTCCCCCATCTTCACCAACTGGGTGCAATCCTCCAGGAAGGAGCGGAGCCACTGCAAAGTAATGCATGATCAGAATTGGTAATAACTCAGGAACTATAGGTAGATGATAAGGTTTTCTCTTCTGCCTTGCTCATCTGGAGCCCTCTGAATAAATAATGCAAGTTGTAGATGGCCAATATATCATCCAGATGTTCTGGTGCGATTCCATCAGTCCTTGCCATCATACCTGGTAGTATGGGAGGAACTGCAATCCACATGCATCTGGAGAGCCATATGTTCTTCAGGCTTTCTGTAGGGATTGCACCCATCTCTCATGAGCCAACTGCACAGGAACCTCATACTCTACATTTTTCTCTTCCTGCTATCCACTTTTCCTAAATCCTATCCAACAATGGA